GGAAAGTGCCACTTTTCCTCCCGCAGGATGCAGTAAACATCCAAGGGAGGAAAAGGCACTTTACTCTCAAGTAATACATATGATTTTTCCGCCTCCCTCAAATAACAAGTCATTTTCAAATAATTTTGCGGAATTCTAAAAATAGCGTATTGTTGTAGCTCTATTATAATATTTGCCGTTTAACTTTTATTTTTTAAATATATTTAGTTCTTTAAAATATCTTACCTTCATTAATAAATAATTATCATCGGGGGCTTCTAGTAAAAATGTATTTACTTCCTCTCTTGAGAAGGTTTTTGCCTCATTAGGTTTATATCCCTGGTTTTGTCTTTTCAAGAAAGCAATTAATTTTGGGTATTTAATATCCACATTTTCTTTTATTTGAAGCATGGTACGTAGCATTGAATACTTGGACCACAGTGTAGAGGCTTTTAATGTATTTGCTAATAGCGAAAAATACCCCAAAATAACATTTTCTAAGTACGAATATGCCTTTCTTCGGCCCATTGCTTGAAATGTACCTAAATACTGTTTCGTATTTTTCTTTAGATTTTTGGGGTAATAGAGATTGTACTGTTGCATTAACCTGTTCCAAAATATCCGGTGGTGTATTATTTATGTCTTCAAATTCGCTTGAATCACTCATTTTTTAAATATTATTTTATATTTTGTAGATATATTATAGCGTAACACACTTTGAAACTGATCTGTCAATCGACCATAGCATGCTATAATATTTCTGTCCTAAATTCGAAAATCGGATGAATCTATGAATTGAAGTCAAATTATTAATGTAAAAGTCGTTAAATTTAAATAATAATTTACTGATTTTTACTATTTTGCAAAATACAGGATGTTCTATAAATAAACGGTAAAATTTATACTATAATAGAATATAGTTTAGGTCGTCAATGCCGTATAAGCTATTTCATTTATGACATACCATGACGTCACTTTACTTTTCCTCCCTAGGGAGTAAAAGTACTTTTCCTCCCTAAGGAGGAAAAGTACAACTTTGCTCCCTGCAATGAGGCCAGGAAATGTATCCCAGCTAGCACAAAAACATCCCATCTACGTTAATAAGCTGCAATTTTAGGCTCTTTAAGCTCGCATGCAATGTACTGTTAATGTAACCCTATCATCCCTGCAACCACCGAATGTCCGCAACGGCAAGACTTTTATAGCACATCTCACAGAAGTTAAAAAGTGAAGTTAGGAAAACATCACACTAGCACTTTTACGGTACTTACCCTGAAAGTTGCTCTGAAACTTTCTATAGATGTTATAATGTGAATTCATTCTACAGCATTATACAGTGTGTCCACGGATGGACTTAACAATACTTGTAAAAATATTTATTTTAAATTTAAAAGTACTTCTTCATAATTTCTTTTGCTTGTTAAATAAATACGATTAACGTTGAGAAATTATGAAAAAGACCTTTTGAACAATTTAAAATAAATATCTTTACAAGTATAGTTATGTCCATCCTTGGATACACTATATTCAAAATAGTATATTGAGGATATAGTAAAATCTGAAGAAAACAAAATAAAAAATTGTATAAATTTATTATTAAAAAGCTTTTGAAATCAAGAACCAATATCATACAAGTAGAGGTAGGTATTAATAATATAGGTAAAAAAAACACTGACAAATTGGACAAAAGTTGGTATAAAGGGTATATAAGGAATATCTCAAAGGTTCACTAGAATCGAAAACACTGAACGCTTGCACGAAAGAGTATAATAAGGTACCTATATTGCAAAGGTTCACTGGTAGCTAAAATGGTGCACGATTGTACAAAAGTAGTAAAAAGTGTATTTATATAAGGTATATTTCAAAAGTCACTAGATTTTTATTAAGATGGCAGTTGTAGGATGCTAAAAAAAGATATTTGCCTACAACTGGTACTAATCATAGTTTTAATATGATATAAACTGAATATTGATAAATGTAAAGTCATAAGGTTTAATAAAACAGCTAATATCATTATGCATGATTGTAATTGCAGGTTCTGAACTAAGTTTTGAGCAAACTATAAATGATCTTGATGTTATTTTTGAGAGGGACCTATAAGAGTTTGGAATGCAGATGTCGAGAAGCATCATTTGTTTTCCTGTATAAGTTATTGAACGGTTTGATTGATAGTGACAGCCTGGTACACTTTATTAGATTCCTTGTTCCTGCCAGACTTACTAGGCATATGAAACTATTTTATGTAAATGCTCAACTATGGACAGAATTTATTTGTAGACCAACTGATGTCCAATTACAATAAGTATTTTTCAAATTATGACATTTTAAAAGGTTTATTTTTTAAAGTGTCAACTTTTATTACACTATTGACTTCATTTTTATACTGTGACAATTTTATTAATTTCTTTTTTATTTTATTTTGATATTTTAACCATTTAGAACTTTATATATCAGTAGCGTACTGTAAACAAATAAATATGTGAACTTAATAACATAGTTTCTTCTGTAAAAATAACTTTGTAGATAATAAATTTACTTGTTTAATTATTATTAAGAAAATAATATATATATATATAAAGAAAATAAAAAATATGCTCGTTTAAATCGTTGCACCTATTTTTGATTGATTTTTACTTACTTTGTTTTTTTAAATAAATAATAACATTTATTTTGACTTTTACAAATTTTATACTTAATAATGGATGTTCAACTTATACAGAACAATGTTTTTTAGCATGATATTCTGCTCTGAAAGAAAAAGAAATAATCTCAGATGTTATATATTCTTCTTCAACCAATTCTGTATTAACTTTAGCTTCTAAAATTCCTGAGATTTTTACTAGAATTATAATCCAGCCCAAAGGAAACCTAAAACACAATATTTTTAAAATTTATTTTTAGTGATTAAAATATTATTACACTAGGGCGACCATACTTACAGCAATTTTTCTGTATTGTAAAGCATTTTTAAAGTTTGTCCAGCAATTGGTATTGTGCAGCAAACGTACAGCAAAATGGCATAGGTATATATATCCAGTGAAATGCTGTATTTATCCACCAAAACGTCACTACTGTCCAGCAATGGTAATACTTAATTTACTGAAACGTAACAAATTTAAATGTTATTTATCTTTAGTGAACTACATGAGCACTTCTATACTGCGGTTCTAGCAAGAAGGTTTTATCAGCAAAATTAGCAGTTTTTTTTATGTGCATTTGTCTACATTTTATCTTTCTCGATACTGAAAAGGAATGTCTTATTTGTAACAAAGGTACTAAAATGTTAAAAAGTTACACAAAAAAAGGTTTAAAAGATAATAAATATAAATTTTCAGATAGGACTTCTCTTGTTCGGATGGCAGTATATGACTTCTCTGTTTTTGTATTTTTATAATTGGGAGTAGGGTTGAGTATCGGTCAAAGGTATCAATACCGGTATCATGTGAAATACTTTGTGGTAGAGGCATCGATACTGTTCGATATTATGTTAAAGATATTGATATTTATAAGTCTCGAGTAACAAAGTATCGAAAAAGTAAAAGATTTTTGTTAAACGGCTGGCAACCCCCATTCAACAGGAAGGAGTAGGGAACTTAACTAATAACAAGAGTGTATCAGTAAAGTATATTCTGTAGTCGACACCTTTTCTTTCTCTACTGGTACTCTACCTGGTACAAGTTATAGTGTCAATAACTGGCAATTTACCTTATAATTAAATAACAAAAAAACAGTGGTAACGCTTAATCATATTACCAAGTTTCACCACATGCAAAAACTAAAATATTTCAGTACAAATATTTGAACAAACCTTATAATCTCTGACCACACACATAGCGATACAATACTTGCTTCTAAGTATCACTATGGCGATAGTATTGGTAATTCAGTAATTCAGTGCCTAAATATCGATACTTTCATTGTTTAATATCGTTACTTCTATAGTATTAAGGCATCAATAAGATCCCTATTATCGTGTAAAATAAATATTTCATCATTTAATTATATCTACTTATTTTTGATTGTATTTGGAAATTGAAATTTTGCCATCTAAAACAACAAACAATAAATTAGAAAATTAGAAAATTTATTGAAAAGAAGAAAACAACTTAGCAAACTTATTCAAACGTATAGTTTCCAATTTCTTTAAAATCTGAAATACGTACAAGAAAAAGTGACAAGTGACATTTTTTTATGTTTTGTTGGTTATGACAAACGAATGGCTACGTTCAAAAGTCCATAGTACTTCTCGTGGAAACTTTTTTAGCAAGTTACTTAATTACGTTGTGTTATCATAACAGGCAGGTTAAATACGTAAGTAACAAATAGATGTTTCGCGAGGTTTTGATTTCCCTCAACAACTTCTCATTAACGTTGCAATTACGTTGTATGGGTATGTTATTATGTTCCCTTAAAACAACATCGCCGAAAGGCTTGGTAACGTTATGTGCTAGCTGGGATACTTTAGATAGAGGTAGGCGGAAAAAGATTTTTTCGTTAAAAGCACTAATTTTGTTTCACTGTGGCCCACCCTCCCCTTCCTAGTTAATGTATTATTTTTATTATTAATCAATGAAGATTGTATTTTTTAATTGATAATTTATTTAGTAAATAAATAATTTTAATTAATATTATGTTTCATTAAAAGTTCTACCATCTAGCTACATTTAACCCCTCAGCTCGTTTAGGGAACCATAAACAATCCTAAACGCGGCAATATTACATATGTTAAAAAATTAAATATTTTTTATTATTATTTAATTTCAAAGTGTAATTTAACATATTTAGGAACAAAATCTGAAGGATTAAATATAAAAAAGGAAATCAAGAGAACCACTGTGCTCTACCTGTGGGGCACAGTGTTTTATTCACTGGGTTACACGTTACTCTGGATTGCAATAGATATACTTAAAGTGTATTAAAGTCTATTAAGAAAGAGAGAAATTGGTGTAGGTACTATTTAAATTTATTTTAAAAATAAAGCATTTTACTAAAATTTTTAATTAAAATCATATTTATATATTATTATTATCATTTATTTTGCTAAAAATTTACAACTCTTTTAATAATTTTAAAACAAAAGCATAATTAAAAAAAAAATTTTTCATTTATCACAATCAACTTTATATTATAGACGATTATGAATTTATTAATTACCCACTCAATTACACGATTAAAATTGACTACATACTCGTTGAAGAGTAAAGTATTGCGCGAGGTGATAGTTGCACCTAGCATTAAGAGGTCGAGTAACTGATAAATTCAATGAATCTAATGTGATGAATAGAACAAATTTAAACCTTTTATAATGTTTTATAATGACGAATAAACATTTAATTATGGTTTAATGAAACTCAATAACTACCACATAACTCGTTTTACAAAATAAAACTAATTTAATTAAATATACCATAATTAAATTATTATTGATATTTATAATGAAGTTAAAAAAACACTTTTATTGCTGCGTTAGTAAAAAAACTACTAATACCAAAAATTATCAATATCTCTAGCATTAATAAAATCAAAAATATTACTCGAATATTACTAAAATAGGCAAAACGGAATGACTACATATTTAGTTCATATTAATATTCAACTTCAACTCATTAACTACAATATTTACAAACTAAGAAAACTTACTTAACTAATCAATATCACAATGAAGTTTTAGAACACTGACTATACACTAGAAGCGTTTTTGAATTGAATAGTTTTTTAAGGAACAATATTAATTTAATCAAATTATATCAAATGATTCATGGAACCATTATCAATTGATACAATATTAAAAAATAAAATAACACAAACATCATGTTTTTCCAGAAAGATTTTACACAATAGTATAGATGCTGTATTATTTTTATAAGTTCTAGAACCTCAATAAAATGCCTAACTAATAATAATTATTATTTTAGATTGGTACTGTACGATGACGTATGACAGCTGACAATTATTGTTCATTGTTCTGTGTAAAGCACACATTCTAAAATTTGTGAGATAGCATTATCTCAAGCTGTAATGGTTGTAAAATATAACTTTAATTTAAAAATCCTTCTAGTATATAACAATATACCTAAGTTTTTTCAACACTTTTAACAACCATACTGCCATTCTAAGAATAAAAGTCGTATTTATATTTTGTAACGTTTAAATTTGGCCTTATAGCGGTTTTTCATAAAAATAAGAATACACTAGTTTTATCCGTGTTCAATAATTATTTAATGGGTCCTTCTATACCCGCATTTTTAACCACTGTGCTTTTAGTTCGATATTTGAACAGAGCGGTCCTTCTGTGACACTCTGGTGAGCATGTGGCTGCCCTGTATTCAAGATGTCGGTCTAGCGTGTCCGCTCTGACGTTAAGTGTGAGTATATGATCAGTTTGGGGTAAATTGGACCTCTATTTGGGTTTAGTTAGGCTATTTATTTCGTTTTAGAGGCTTTGTTTGCTTATTTTAGCCCTTTCTGTCAAGAAATTATTTCGTAATAGAGGGCGCTGATGGGACACCTATCTGTCACTGAGGTATGTTGGTATTACTGTTTTTTTTTGAAGTGACATTGGTTTCCGCCTTCTGGAATATTTTTCGTGATTAATATTCAACATGAGGATTAATGTGAAAGGTACTGTTTCGAAATTTATTGGAAGTTGTTTCAATCCATTTGTACGACTCACCCCCTTCTTCACTGTAGTTAGTCGGCATCCAACTTTGGATTGACATAAATCCCACCTCGGTGCTTAGGCACAGAAAGTAGGTAGCAATTTTGGGCTATATTAGAGTTCAAAGTCATCTGCAGCAGAAATACATGTTTTACATTCCAAACTGACTGTCACTTCTTTAAACTCGGCTGTATTTTTAAACATAATTAATCTAAAATATTTAGCATTATCTTTAGACACGAGTTTTATGCTTAGAAAGGCAACATAACGATATCAAAAATTATTTTAAATATCGGTGCCGAGGCAGTATAGGAATAAATATTTTTGGAGGGAATAGAGCTATGAACACTATTTCAATCAACTTCTGTTAAAAGTCTTCAAATAATTTGAGCTCAGATTCCTCCAGAGTTCTCGATTGTTTCCAATCTGTTTCGGGGTAATCATCGAAATTACTGGAATCTCCATCGTAACTGATTCTGGGTATCAGAGGTGGCTGTAACAATAAGATAAAGTTAGTTTTATTTTAATAATGTTAGTAGGGAAGGTAGTGAATTATTTTCGTAAGGTAAAATTACAATTTTTCGTAGAAAATAGAAATGAGATGACGATGTCTTAAAAAATCTGATGCGTTCACCACATGACTTTCCAGTTTAGTTATTAAAAGTTATTTTGCACAACCTATTGTATCACTCCTGTCAATATTTAAACTATGAACTAAATACATACATTTTCCATACACATGTTACTTGAAACATTTTTTTATACAGGGTTGGCCAAACCTCTCACACTATGAGTACAAGACCACCATAACTCAAAATTAATCGATTTTGAGATTTGTGCGAAATTATAGTGTTCTAGATACTAACTTTGATAATACAATACCAACATATCTCTAAATCGAAAGAATGTCCTATAAATAACAGAAGTGGTACTATTGAATTTTTCCTGAAAATACTTTTTCTGATACAACTACAACATAACTAAATTTTGCTTAATAACTAAAGAGAAGGTCATAAATAAGGGTTTAAAGAATCATGAAATCCAAATAAATAAAAGTGTAATAGATAGCAATTAAAAAACTGTAAAACAAAAAATCTAAAAACTTCAAACGCCATTTTCTCAGTTGATTGTTTTTTGAGTTATGGTGGTCTTGTACTCATAGTGCGCTCTGTCGTAGTTCTATAACTCCTACTATGCAAATCTTAACGATTTATTTGATGTATACATACCTGTCAATGGTGGCCAATACCAAATATCCCAAAATTATTTTCTTGTGTACAGGGTGGCCCAATAGTAAATTAGGCAAACCACTTAATTTTTTTTATATGGAATGACCCAACTTATTTTACAATTTTAGGTACTCTATGGTCACTAGTACATACCCACAAAATATTGTTTCTAACATCCCACCCCTTTCGCAGAAAAAAAAATTACCAAAAAATATTACATTTTCAGACGCCTATTAAAATATGCAGTGCTCTCTCGAATTTGACGTTAGAATTTAAAAAACTACGAATGTATAAAGCCAATAGACCAAAGATTTTTTTAGACCAAGTTTGAATTTTTTATTTTGTACAGGGTGGTCACAAATTAATTTCACTTTCCAAAAATTTCGAGGGAAATTTTTTAAAATTTTTCAAATGTATTACCCTTTATTTCTATTCATCAACTGAAGGAGAATTTCATACCCTTCCACTTCCCTATGTACTTTCCTATACCTATCTGTCGCCGTTATAAAATAAATCCAAAAGGAAGAAAATTACGATAATATAATTTATTTGAAATTTATCCTAAAACATAAATTTACATTTTATAAAAGATTCTCAAAATGTCTGCCATTTTCTCTAATGCATACATTTATTCGTTGGGCGAATGATCGAGAAACGTTTCTAAGCATATCAGGTGTAATGGAATGGAAAGCTTGCATTATCCTTTCTTTCATATTTTCAGGTGTTGTAGGTGGCTTAAGATAGACTAGATTTTTAATATAACCCCATAAAAAATAATCGGGTTTTGTTAAGTCAGGTGATCGAGCTGGCCATTTTTTTGGATCATTTCTACCAATCCATCTATTTGGAAACTTTTCATCTAATTCATCTGCCACTTCGCGTAAAAAATGCGCTGCTGCCCCATCATGTTTGTACCACATTGTTAGTCTTACAGCAAGGGAAATGTTTTCAAGTAAAGTAGGAAGATGATTTGCTAAAAAATCTAAATACATCAGACCATTTAAGTTGCCTTCAAAAAAATACGGCGCAATAACATGATCCCCAATTATATATCCCCAAACATTTACACTCCATCTTTCTTGGCTATGTGTTCTGATGATGTTAGGATTTTCCGTGGAATAATAGTGGAAATTATGTCTATTAACGAATCCGTTCTTGTGAAATGTAGATTCATCAGAAAACAGCACTCTATCAAAAAAAAAAAAAAAATAGATTTTGTTGCAGTTTAGTTTGTACCCAGTTACAAAACATCATTCTATTATCAAAATCGGTGTCTTTCAGCTCTTGATGCAATTGTATTTTATAAGGATAATATTGATGCTGTTTTAAAATCCTTCCAACGGATGTTCTACTTATACCTACTACTTCGGCAATCTTTTTTTGACTTACATGAGGATCTTCTATCGCTGTCAAAATTACAGATAATTGGTTATCATTATCAGTAGAACAGAAGTAAAAGTTGGAAATGCTTTTGCCAGTTCCCCACTTTACACACATAAATTGACAGGTTGGCACCGGATCTCACCGAAGTGGACGCGATACATTGGCGTACAAAATTATTTTATAGATGTTAATAACAATTTCGAGTAAATAGTTTAATAAATTGTGAATAGCTGCTGAAATTTTGTAAAATTATAATTTGAATATTATAATACATGTTTAATAATTATTTATAATTCATAAATACATGCAATTGTCCGGTTCCGCCGATAACAATTTAAAATTACTTATTCTATGAAACGACACTGGCAGGTAAACATTACTGTGAAATTCTCGGAGCCGCCCGACGTGGTTTGACGTTTACCCCCTCTCTACCTACCAAAAGACTTTTCAACTTTTACTTTCTCTATAGCACGTTTGTCAATTATTGGTTTTTTATAAGCAACATTTCCTGTTTCGGTAAATCTTTCATGTAACTTTTTAAAACTTTTTTGATCAGGGATGCGTCTATCGGGATATCGTTGATGATAAATTCTTTTTGCCAATAAACAATTTCTGTCGGATTCTCCCAAAACATAGGCCATGTCAATTAATTCGTTTTTCGTAAAATTCATTATTAATAGAAGAATTATCGCGATATAGTAAAAATAACTTGACACCCAGCCTACTTGATTGAATGTTCACTTTCAATAAAACCACTGGTAGAAATTGGATTTTTGATAGATAAATGTCTTTTTAGAATTTAGTTTTAAACGACGACAGATAGGTATAAGAAAGTACATGGGAAAGTCGAAGGGTATAAAATTCTCGTTTCATCGATGAATAGTAATACAGGGTGTTCTATTTGAAAAATTTGAAAGAAATGTCCTAGAAATTTTTGGAAATTGAAATTAATTTCTGACCACCCTGTACAAAATAAAAAATTAAAACTTGGTCTAAAAAAATCTTTGGTCTATTGGCTTTATACATTTGTAGTTTTTTAAATTCTAACGTCAAATTCGAGAGAGCACTGCATATTTTAATAGGCGTCTGAAAATGTAATATTTTTTGGTATTTCTTCTTTTTCTCCGAAAGGGGTAGGATGTTAGAAACAATATTTTGTGAGTATGCACTAGTGACCATAGAGTACCTAAAATTGTAAAAAAAGTTGGGTCATTCCATTTAAAAAAAAAATAAGTGATTTGCCTAATTTACTATTGGGCCACCCTGTACACAAGAAAATAATTTTGGAATATTTGGTTTTGACCACCATTGACAGGTATACTTCGAATAAATCGTTAAGATTTGCATAATAGGAGTTATAGAACTACGACAGAGGTTTGGCCAACCCTGTATATTCATTGCCAACGAAAATACTTAAAAATTAAAATTTTACTTTTGCTCAAATTTTTCCGTTACGGTCAATTTTAGAGAAATCATGTATAGTACAAAAATTATAGGGACAGATCTTGCAAACAACTTTTATTTGAACAAGTTTCTTAAAATTTCGATAATTTCTCGAATATAAATCATTTTAGGAAAATTATGTATAGAACAAAAAAGATAAAGAATAACATTACAAGCAACTTTTATTTGAAGAAGTTTCTTCTACAAGCGTAAATAACGACCCTCTACAAAGTATCCCCGTCTCAGATGTTCCGACTATGCCCAAAATCTAATAATAACAACTTGAAAAGCACTAATACATTAATAAATGGTGAAATTAAATATTATTTTTTTACTAATCAAGAATTTGATTTAAAATTACTTACTTGTAGTTTTCTTAAGGCGACATCTGCCCAATCAATTCCTTTGAACCACCTATGCCTTTTTATATCATCAGCACCACACTGAAAACAAAAAAAATATTAGTTCATTAAATAAATAAGTAAAAATAAATTATATTGTGAAACGGGTAATTTTCGATTATAACTTTTAACTCGTCTTCTCATTTATTAAAGTCTAAGAAAGGTTTAGATCCGAATACTGAAATGTCTAATTTTTGGAGAACTGGAAATATATTCCCCCAATTCCCTCTTCGAAATTAAGAATCGTATCCCCAAAATAAAAAAGCTAAGAAATTGTCTGTTTTAAGTTTTATTTAATTTTACAAACAAAAAAATCAAATTTAAAAAAGAAAAATAATAATTGGTAAAGATTGAACTCACGACCATCAGGTTCAAAGACAAACGCGCTAGGCTCTACACCAACGAGACATGTTAAATATGAATGTTAAAAACAGGGTAATTTATTTTTAATATTTTAATTATCATTTAAATATTAAGGAAAATGAGTCTGAGTATTAAATGTTCAACTAAAAGATTCAGATTAGTCTACATTTTGTTTTTAAATACCGATTAACTTTATAATAACAATGAAAATATGCGTGTGCAAAAAGTTACTTTGTGCCTATATGCGGCCATAATGTCAAACTATGATAATTCATGTAAAACCTCAACTTTTCAATTAGATTTGAACGTTCAAAAGCCTATTTTGGATAGTGATCGTAGAAAAATGTATTTACAACGAATAAATACCTTCATATTGCCCAATCTCTTAGTTCTATCTTGTATTAGCAGTTTTTTGATAAGGTCCTTTGCTATAGTATCCAGATGTCGTGGCCATTCTATTTTACCGCCTAGGATTTTTTCGTAAATACCGAATGGATTGTCATCGTAGAAAGGAGGATAACCAACTAACATCTCATATATTAAAACACCTGCAATATAAAAAAATACAACTTTATACACGTGCGTATTTGAAAAAATAATGTTGATGGTTGCTTTGACGTGACGAAACTTTGTATTAAAAAAAAAACTGTTGATAATTAACTAAGGTCTCCTGTGAATAAAATAAAAAAAGTTTTTTTTGGTTTTTGATATTGTTTTAACTGGAAAAACTAGAATTAAAAAGAAAAAATGTCATTTTTAATTTGTTTTAAATGTTTCAGATCAGAGCTGGGATGGATTTGAATCACATCGGATTCAAATCCCGTGAAGGGCTTTAATAAGACAATGATTTATTTTAAAATTTAAAATAGACACGCCAAAATGCATTTTTTCTTTGGCTAGCCCAGCAAAATAACTAGAAATGGCTAGCCAGTAAAGTAATCGCTCTAATTTGCCGCCAGATGGTGCACCACTTAATTTTGATAGTTTCTTTCACAATTTATTATTAAATTATTTTTGTTGCATTGTTTATAAAGAATAGAAACTTATTTATTCTGCTACAGGTTATGTGTTTAGTGATATTTATCTATGACTGATATATAGTAGAAAAGTTATAGTAATTTTTTTTAAATAAATTATAAAGATAGGTCACATGCTGCAATACACATTACACATACATGTTGTGTGTGTTGCCGTCAAATAGTTAATTTATAAATAGTTTCTGGCAGTCTGGTGTCATTTTCTAAAACATTTGACGTTTTTGTGGTTGATACCAATGCGGACTTACTTATTTAAAAAAATTTCTTTTGAAGAAGCAATAATAATCTGCCATACTAAACCGAAATGTGTTTAAGGTACCATTTCGGTAGGCACGACAGGAGACAGGAGACCACCGAACCGACCCCAAGGACGCCAGATGCATGATTGTTACGCTCTGTATATTTGAGAAGCAAGGAGATAGGTAGCGCGACATCCCCAGACAACCATTCGAGGGAACGATCAGCGTTGCCCCATACCTACTGTTTTTAAGTAGATCCACTGTTTTTGTCTCTAGCAAATTTTGTTCTTAATTTATTAAGTTTGCCTTATTCTTCAGCAAGTGGTTAAAAAATATTTTCTCTAGTAAATTTTCTGCAGTGAAAGCAGCGTAATAAGCAGCCACTATTGTAGGTTTGGTTTTATTTAAAATAAAATAAAGAATTAATAGAGCATCATAAAAAGAACATGCATGCCAAATACAACGATTTTGTATTATCTGATTCAGACTGATTTAAAAGAAGTAGGTACCTATTATTTTTCATTGTTTTTCTTTTTGTTTCCGTACGTTAAGTATGTATTAAAAATATAATTTGTTTTTATTTTTTGTTTACTTTCTAATTTGAGTAGAAAAATGTTTATTTTTCGTTTCTTATATAATTGTTTTTTTTTTTTTCATTTAATACACTGGAAATTATAATTATTTTCCCCTGTATTAAAATCTACTGTTCAGATATGGTTTTTTTTTTTCACCCATACTGTTGCAGCATCGGGCACATAAAATATCGACTAATTACCTCCAAATACAAGCGATGTCTGAGGACAGTGACCTCGAGTGCGACACGCAGCAAACGCTTTGCCCAGAGACCGATCCAAAGTGTCGTCGAGAAGTGTCGCGCCGTGCGAAATGTGTTTCATATAATTTCATGTGTTTCAGATGTGGAGACCGTTCTAGGTCGCATCTGTTGTCGTCTGTCGCGTCTGTTGTCGTCTGTCGCGCCTAACGAATTGTGTTCAGATATGAAGAGACCGTTTTGGGTCACCCTCGCGTTTTGAAGTCGGTCTCGGCTTGCGAAATGGTAGCTTTAGAGTTAATTAATTAAGGTATTTTGGGAAGAAGCAGTATTTACTGCAGCATATATAACTAATGGTGCACAATCTTGTTATTCCAAATATAAAACTCCTTATGAGCTGTGGATAGGTAAGAAACCAAATGTAATAAATATGAAAGTTTTTGGATGTATAGTATATGCTAGAATACCTGATTCACTTAGAACAAAACTTGATGATAAGGAAATTAAATGTAGATTTATAGGTTATGCTGAGAATGGCTTTAGGTTATGGGACATAAAAAAAGGTAAAATTATACATTTTTTTTCTCTCCTAAGCTCGTCTGACTATGTGTCTCCGAATAACACTGAAGCCTATTGGCTTATTGTGTTTTACCCCATGTTAGTTCATAGCACCCACTCTATCAACTTTGTACCTTGTACAAGTTTGTACAGATCCTTGGGTGAGTGGGTTCTATACGTTGTTGGATCAACCTGGGGTTGTCCAAAAAGAGCCTGTCTTTTGCGATCTAGAGCTTCGCATTCGCACAGTATGTGTTTGGCCGTTTCTGGTTTCTTGTGACATAATCGGCACATGAGTTCCCCATTGTACATGCCAATTTTGTTCAAGTGTCCCTTTACTGGGGCGTGCCCAGTCATGAACCCTGTTATCACTTTCAACTGGTTCCTATTCATTAAGAGTAGTTCTCCAGTTCTTTTGGGACATGGTCTGCCTATGAAGGCTTTTCCATGTGCCTGTTTTGGGGTGCTTCCCCAATAGTTGATATGTTGTTCCCGAATCCAGTCATTTATAAAACCCCGGACTGTACTTTTTGGTACTCCTGGGTTTGTGTCTGGTTCCGGTGTTTCTTCTGACCCTCTTTTTGCAAGTTCGTCAGCCTTTTCGTTGTCTTCGATCCCTTTGTGACCTGGCACCCAAAATGGTTTTACTCTATTTCGGCCTGCCAGCGTTCTTAGTTCTTCGATGCATTCCCATAACAGCCTCGACGTAACTTTCTAACTCGATATGGCCTTAAGTACCGCTTGGCTGTCTGACATTATTTGAATATGCTGATTTTCGACAGCTCTTTCATTGTTCGTTTTTGCACATTGCAAAATTGCGTATACCTCGGCCTGAAATACCGAGGAATGTATTCCTATAGCATAGCTATGGTTAGTATCAGGGTTTTTGGAGAATACTCCTGCCCCAGTGCCTTCCGAAGTCTTGGACCCGTCTGTATACTAGGTTTGTTCCTGTCGGTGGGCATTGGGCTCCCTTATGGTGATCTTCGCTCTTTCCTGTATTAAAAACAAGGGAGTATTAAAAGAGTACCTCTTGGTTAAGTGGTCTGATCTCATGTCTAGCACGTCTCCTGTCACTAACCATGAGATACTCATGTGACCTGGCCTAATGTCAAGATTTCCCAGTGTATTCCCTAATCTGTAAGCACCTAATCTTGCCTCCCCTTGTATCACATAGTGAAGAGGTGGGAGTCCTATTAGTGCTTCCATTGCAGCAGTGGGGGTTGTTTTCATTGCCCCCGTTATTCCGAGGCAGGCAAGTCTTTGTACCTTGCTAAGCCTCGTTATTGCTTTCCTTTGCTGTGTCTTTGGCCACCACACCAAAGCTGCGTATGTTATTATGGGTCTCACCACCATGTTATAAATCCAATATACCATGTCTGGTTTTAACCCCCATTTTTTTTTCCAAAGGATCGCCTTGCCATCATTAATGAGGTTTCCGCTCTCCTTGTGGTTCTTTCTAGATGCTGGTTCCAGGTAAGTCTCTATGCTAGAATACCTGAGAATGGCTTTAGGTTATGGGACATAAAAAAAGGTAAAATTATACATAGTAAAAATGTTATATTTGATGAAGAAAGATTTTGTAAAGAAATTAATTATAAGAAAAATTATGATTTTTTTGGAAGAAAAAGACTAAAACAAAAGAAAGTAATGGAACTGAAGAAATTAATGAAGCAGAAGAAGAAAGTAAAGAAAAAGTTGAGGAGGTGAAGAAAAGAAATCACAAGAAGAAAATATGGAAGGTGATTTCAAAAGTAAAGAAAGACGAAGAAGGCAACTACCATATTTAGAAGACTATGAAGTAGAATGATCAAAGTTCTGCTATTCATTGTCTAGTAAGAAAATATAATGTTGAGAATTGTAAAAATGTAAAAATACCAATTGAGAAAAACTTAAACTTAGAGAAAAATTCAAATAAGACCTTAAAAACTAGATTGCCTTATAAAGAGCTTTTGGATTCTTTGGTATATACAAAGCCTGACATTTGTAATTGTGTGGGATATTTCTTTAGATTTCAAGATAATGCAACGGATGAACATTTTATACACTTGCTCAGAGTCTTAAAATATTTAAAATGTACACTTGATTATAAATTAGTTAGTAATGCAGATTGGGCAAATGACATTATTGATAGGAAGTCTATAAGTGGTTTTTGTTTTAAATTATTTGACAATTATTGTTACTCTATGCAGTACAGAATCAGAATTTGTTGTATTATGTATGGCTAGCTGTCAACTTCTATATAATATGATTTAAAAATTCAGTATGTTTTTTCTATTTGTATGAAGACTATCAAAGTACAATTAAATTACTTAAAAATTTTGAGAATAATAAAAGATTTAAACACATAGAAGTTACATTTCACTTTATTGTTGATCTTGTTGTTAAAAATGTTATAAAAATTATTTATATTAATACCAATGATCAGCCAGCAGATATATTTACTAAGAGTTTGTCCTTGAAAAATTTAGTAGATTTGTTAAAATGTTAAACTTAGTGTTAAATTAATATGTTAAGCTCAAGGGACGGATTGTATTTTGTTTTTTGAAACAAATTCAGTCAGGTTGAGGAACGGTGTTAAAATACCCGTATCTATTATAGTTGGCAACCCTGTCTGAATTAGTTACTTTTGTTTTATAAAGATGACTACTTCTGGTAAATTAACCAAAGAATATGTGCACCTAACCTGAGTTCCTATTTTAATTTTAGTATTATATGTTTAAATAAAAAAACCTTTCACCAAACTAGTTCCACATTATTTTCTCTAACATGAGGTACGTTAAAAAAATACTATTCACTTACCTAACGCCCACCAATCAACAGCTTTATTATGCCCTTTACTCTGTATAATTTCAGGTGCCAAATATTCTGGAGTGCCACAAAGAGTCCACGTCCTGTCCGTGAGTTTCTTGGCGAATCCGAAATCTGTTATCTTTAAGTGTCCTTCCTTATCCAATAGTAAATTTTCTGGTTTAAGATCTCTGTATACTATACTCTTCGCATGTAAATATTCCAGCGCCGAAATTATTTCCGACGTGTAAAAGTTTGCAGTGGAACTTGTAAATCTTCCAGCGTTTCTTAGATATGAAAATAATTCGCCGCCACAAACGTATTCGAAAAGCATGTAGATACAAATTTCGTCTCTGTCACACCAAAGCCTGAAAAGAAAAAGACAAATATAATCATAAATGAATATTATTGTTGAATCGATTTTTGTTGTTGTAACAATCAAAATTATATATTTATGTTGGTACTGCAACATTCTTAGATCCTTTTTAGGCTTAACAGTTGGTAACACTGTAAGGCTGATAGTTTGTCATATGCTGCGTTTGAGAATCCACATCGGATGCATTTTTTACATCTCGAGCGTTTTTTATCCACATCGGACACATCTACATTACATTTTTTACATCTCGATTTGAAATGAGATGTGAATGAGATGTTTGTTCCATGCTAGAAAGTAAGTGTTCTGTGAAGCCTTGTTTGTCAATTTTTCCTTTGTTTATGCTAGCATGAATATAAAAGTGATTAGTGTGCTTAATTTTTGTTTATATTTCAAATTTAGGTTGATTTGTAGTCTCAAAAGTCAAATTTAATAAGTATAAACTTCTAACTTGTCATTGACATTTGTCACGTGACCAAATAAAGTCTAGAGCGTTTGTTTATTACATCTACATTCAGATCTAATTCTCTATCACGTGACAAAAAATTTACCACATCTCAGATGCATCCGATGTGGATTCTCAAACGTAGCAATTATTATCGATCCATTGATGGCACATACTTTGATTACTATAAGAGGCAAGAGAGAGGTCCGACACGCCCAACATAGGGCGCGGCCATTTTGAACCCTGTGACACAGTTTACAGCTAAAGAATCAGATCGCTCACTCTGCGTCGGCACTTTGGATCTCAATGTTTCAGTTTATACACTGTCCACAGGGACCCGGACCGAACCGTTATTGACCGAAAATCGGACCGGAACCGAACCGAACCGATAATATATTAAAAATATTTTTTATGGACCGGACCGTACCGAACCGTAATAAAAATGAATTTTTTCGGTTTTTTCGGTTTTTTTTTCGGTTCTTGTGTCTTTTTCATATCCTTTTATGTTGGCTGGAATAGCCGATTCACGTGACCAGTAAGGCTCACTGAGTCACTGAACACTGAACCCCATAGTTTTTATGACTGAAAGTAGCTGAATAATAAAACCACACCACACATCGGAAAAAAGACAAATAAAGTGAAAGTAGGTAACGTCAATATTAATTCAGCTCACATACTTTGATTTTCTTTTACTATACGGAGAATGGTCGCACTGCGCAGCTTTCTAAGTGCCTTTTAAAAGGAGATAGAAAACTCCGCCATTTTGAACCCTTATTACGTGTGGCCTACATTTTGGCGCAATATTTTTAATAGGTGTGTTTTAATCATCCTCTTCTGCTTCGGAATTGTCGGTTTTCTTGTTTTAATTTGACAAGTTAAAACGACTTAAACCGACAATTCCGGAAGCAGAAGCGGATGATTAAAACGCACCTGATATTTTGCTTGTGGCTGTCAGTGTCAGTGAATATTATTTTTTGAGTCACAGATTATTGCTAAAGAATCAGTTAGCTCACTCGGACCAGTTGAAAGTTTCAAAATAAGATCCACTCCAGGGATACAAATTTAGGATACGCAGAAGACAGCTGTTTTATTATAGGCGGTTGTTATATATTGTATTATCCGAGTTGTGCAGTGTATAAACTGGAACATTGAGATCAAAAGTGCCGACGCAGAGTGAGCGATCTGATTCTTTAGCTATAAACTGTTGCATAGGGTTCAAAATGGCCGGGCCCTATGTTGGGCGTGTCGGACCTCTCTCTTGCGCCGTATAGTAAAGAAAATCAAAGTATGTGATTCAGCTACTACAAACTACAATTAATAGACTTAGGCTAGTAGGACATTGTGCCGCCCCGGAACACCTTCACCGGATAGGAGTGTATAACTCCCCTAATTGTGAGTGCGGACAAGTAGAGAGGCAGACGCGTGAAAACGCAACTTGTTCCAAAATAAATTATATTTAGACATGGTACTGGCGTTCATACTATTGGGCATTTGGCCTTTACAAGTCAATCTTATTCTGTCAGATTGTACAGGGTTATACATTATAAATTACCCACCCCTTATTATCGTTATTATTGCCTATAGAAACAGTCACAAATAAAAGTTGAGTGGTTATAGCTGTTTTTTGTTAAAATTCTATCAAATGTACAGTAGCGTGCATATTTCAGGGGATACAAATTTTTTAAATGGGATACCCTGTATATTTTTACATTTTTATAATCCTCTCAATGAGCTGATTTCAACGATGTTCCATACTTGATGTCTAATCTGGATAATAAAGGATCTACAGCCACATGAAAAATCACATTTTTGGAAATTGGAAATCTCATCTGACTTTTGAGTAAAAAAAATGTGATTTTTCAGGTGGCTGTAGATGTTTATTATCCAGATTAGACATCAAGTGTGATCCATCGTTGAAATCAGCTCGTTGAGAGAATTATAAAAATGTAAAAATATACAAGGTATCCCCGAAAATCTGCACGCTACTGTACATTTGATAGAATTTTAACAAAAAACAGTTATAACCACACAACTTTTATTTGAAACTTTTTTTTTTTCAATATGCAATACCGGTAATAAGGGGTGGGTAATTTATAATGAATAACCCTGTACATACCTACTATAAAAAAATCAATCGAACCGAAATAACTGAACCGAACCGAAAAAATTTGGTAGAACCGGACCGAACCGAACCGAAATTTTTTTTTGAGAACCGGAACCGTACCGGACCGGATTTTTTTAAATGTGATAAGAACCGGAACCGAACCGAACCGTCAATTTCATTTCGGTCCGGGTCCCTGACTGTGCAACTCGGATAATACAATATATGACAACCGCCTATAATAAAACAGCAGTCTTCTGCGTATTCTAAATTTGTATCCCTGGAGTGGATATTATTTTGGAACTTTCAACTGGTCCGAGTGAGCTAACTGATTCTTTAGCAATAAACTGTGACTCCAAAAATAATATTCACTGACACTGACAGCAGCAAGCAAAATATCAGGTGCGTTTTAATCATCCGCTCCTGCTTCCGGAATTGTTGGTTTAGTCGTTTTAACCTGTCAGATTAAAACAAGAAAACCGACAATTCCGAAGCAGAAGCGGATGATTAAAACGCACCTATTAAAAATATTGCGCCAAGATGTAGGCAACACGTAATAAGGGTTCAAAATGGCGGAGTTTTCTCTCCTTTTAAAAGGCACTTAGAAAGCTGCGCAGTGCGACCTCCGAGCAATTACTACTAGAGGGAGTCTTCCCCCCTTCCCCGCGCTAAATTTTGTTAGCAACATCTACTCCCCCCGAGGGGGAAAATACCTCTTCTGTAATTGGCTTATTTAATCAGCGTTGCCAAGTTTGACAGCGCCAGAAGTGTTCTGTGAGCGCCAGTTCTGACACTTTCTGACACATGTCAATTTCTTATTTGTATTTTACGAAAAATATTATTATTTATAACGTTGTAAGGGTTGTAAATGTATATTTAAGATTTATTATCTCTAATAATAATATGGTGAAAACATGCTTTATGTATAAAAGGCCTGTTGAAAATGCTTCTTCAAGATAATATCATAAGTAAGTACAGACACAACCTAATTATCAGAAGCGGTGCATTAGGCAATCACCTTTAATTTGCAATTAAATTTCTTATTTTCTAATCGAAAAATTAAAATTAAGAGCAAGTACACTCCAGCTAAGTTCGTCTTCATCCGTCTCATAATGATTATAGTAAAGGTTAATTACTTATTATTATTTTAATATCACATCTTTGTAAAGTTTATTGTTATTTTTTTTAGGTTTCCTTTTCTTGATATGAGAAAGAAATACATGGTTCCAAAAGATAGGAATTCAACAAGTGACCACCTGAATAACTTTTTATGCTAATGAATATTTTTATTACAGACCTCAGGGAAGGAAAATATTAAAGAAAAATGCAATTTCGACGAAAGAAGTATAATAATCAATCCTGTCACTACTTCTACACTATATTCATCTGCTACTAAAATACTAAAACAGTAAGTAGAGAAACTTAAATTTCTTTCAAAAAGAATGTTTAAGGAAAAAAGCATAGCTATTTTTTTGTTGACACTTTTTTTTAACTAATCTAAAAGACTACTTTTGTGTATTGCTTAAATGTTCATTTTTTGTACTTAATTTGTTTTAGGTTTAAACAAAATGAACTTCTAAGATATACATGGAATATCCCAAAAGAGCTAAGGAAGGTTTTAAAATTCTTAAGAAAACTATTCAGAGCCAAAAACATAAAATAGTCTTCCTGTCCAAAATATAAATAGGTATAAATATTTAGATATTATGAGTGATTTTTTATTCTATAAATAGAACATAATTTGCTTCTAAATCACTACCTAATGAACTATATTATATAGTACAAAACTAAACAAGAATATCACATTATTCATGTTTTTTTTTAATTTCCTTAAAACACGTCCCAAAAAAATGTGAATATTTATTATTGGAGTTAACATCGTTATGCTAAAACAATACTAGAACAACTTAAATAATGTGGATTTTGACTATTTTGAGTTATGCAGATCATTATGATCTAAAAAAATGTTTGTCTGGTGCTATAGTCAGGTATAAAAACATTCATTTATTTAAACACAGTTGCAATATACATTTTATTTAGTTTTTAAGTTAAAACCTATTAGGACATCCTAAAATTACTTTTTTCGTTTGATGTGAGATTAATTATTCTACATTTTTGTTGGTGAAATAGGATATATTAAGATGTCTTACTGTTTTCTCTGATTATCTAAAAAGTTAGAACAATATACAAAGACTGTTATAACAAAAAAGAGATATACCTTTACTTAAATACACAATTAGTCAGTTCAATTATACGATAATTTAAAGCAGAAATCCAGAAAACTTTAAAAATGTGTTTAAATGTGTTTTTCCTATAACAAGGACATAATTATTAAAAAAACTTGGCACATTAACATTGACAATAGGTTTTTATAATATATATTATAAAAATCACAACGAACTACACAAAATGACATTATTAATAATTTAGCAATAAAAAAGTTAAGTAC